GAAAATTATTTCTCAAGTGTACTACGTGATAAGGAAAAGATATGAATTCATCTTCATTTTTCTCTAAGGAAAATGCTACATTATTACCCAGGGTCACTTAACATTTCAGTTTAACATTAGAAAACTCCTCAGTCCCTTCCACACCCCACAACCAGACTTGAATGACTAAATGGGGTATCCTTTAATTAAGCCCACTGAATAATCCAAGCAGCTTATAATTCCTGTGTAATTTGAAGTAACTGGTTTCCAAGAGTCAGTCAAATAAATATTGCTTTGATTGACACTTTTTCTACCTACCAACCTCAGGAAATTGCTCAGAGTCAGAAAATAAAGACGATGTGGGTAGAGACCAAGAGGTTTTCAACAGTAATGTGCACCACGTGATTTACAAGGTCTCATGGCTTCTCTGTAAAACAGGCCAAGTTTAAAGAACCCTTGGGAGTCATTTGTCAAGTCCAGTTGCAGGGATACACATGTAAGCACAGTGGCCACAGGTGCTTTGGGTTTTCTCTCTGCTCATATGCCATGGGCTAGGTTCCCAGGGCTCAGAAACTCAGCCCAGAAATGAAGGCCACACAAGTCCATTGATTCAGCAGCGCCTGTATCTGGAGACACTGCCCACATCTGAGTCCTGGCTTGGCTGCTTTCCAGTTATATGACCTTGGCCAAATTACTTAACCTCTCTGTGCCACAGGTTCCCATCCGTTGATAATGATAATGAAAGACTTACTTCATAAAAATGTTAAGAGGATTAAATAACTTAAGTTTAAATAATGCAAACCACAAGGTGAGGCTTGAATTGAGATGATGTCTCTCTGTACCCAAAGGCAGAGGGAAGGGTTACTGTTTATTTTATGTAAGAGACAGATTGATTAAAATTCATACACAGTCATGTGTAAAGTCTTTCTAAAGATGACAATATTGACATTTGGTTACAAGGGTTTTGCTTTTCAGGCTTTCAGAGAGAAGACCTCCATTCTTAGAATAGATAAAAATAGACTGTAATTAGCACCAACCAAAGCAATGATAGGGAGCAGTCATCTCAAGATGCTGTAAGTCCTTCATTTATTTTCAGATGTTTTTCTATGCACACGCAATGCCCAGTAAGTGGAGGACAAAAAACAAACAGTAAGAGCTTTCCTTCCAAAAAGTGACTTTATAATTTATAGAAAACACACACACACACACACACACACACACACATGCAAGGTGTCTCATAAATAAGGACACAATGAGGGCCTCCCTGGTGGTGCAGGTGATTGAGCCCAGTGCTGTGGAGCTGTTCGTGGCCTCTGCAGTGCCTATTCTATCCCTGCCAGACACGGAGCAACCCACATGGCAAGCAGACCTCTCCTGCTCGTCCGCCGTTCCCCTCAGCAGTGTATTTCGTCAACCTGCCTGTTCTGTTTCCCGCTCTGTCTCTGCTGAATCCTCTCACCCCTCACATCTCTGGCCTGTACCTCAGCTCTCATATGCATAAATAAATAAATTAAAAAAAAAAATAAGGACACAATGAAAAAAAGAGGGAGAGAAGAAATGCTGACCAGAGAAGGGATACTTAGGTGACCACTAGGGTTGAATTCCTGGAAAAGAGAGAGGCCAATTAGGACTCTACAAGTAGCACCAGAGCCAGCTCTGAGCTAGAGAGGCAGTGGGAGAGAGGTGAATAGGTTTCTCTGCAACAAATGCCTTCTTTAGCTATAAATGTCCCTTTATGATGGAGAAAAAAGGGCATTGTTCCTTACAGAAGTCTTTATGTGTTATCTTTGAGCCAGTTTGTTTGCAAATGACTTGTCTTTCACTTTTTCAAACAGTTTCACTGGCATTTTAAGAGATTTCTCTAATGCAGTTCTCCGGCTTTCAACTCCCACAGGGGTTTTAGGGCAGTGTTTGAAAATAAGAAAGATAAAAATGCATTTATCTTAGAAGTGAGAGAACTGGGGTGGGGGTGGGGAGCTATTAGGTGGCTGGTGATCAGTTCTGCCTGTAAGCCCAAGGCTGAGGAGAGACGGTGATTTCAGGAGTGAGAGGAAATACCTTTCACTGACTTGCAGGAAACTCATTGACTCTGTAAAAGTCTCTGCCTCAAGAACTCTGAGTGACATGAACAAGGGGTATTTAAACTCTTAGAGAGGAAGCTCTAGATAGCACTGTTTACAATACCAAAGGTCTGGAAACCTTTGCAGGGATCTGTCTCTTTTTCTCCCCCATCCAACTCCTGGTGTTTCTCTTCTCCCTACACATATTCCACCAGCATTTGCAATTTATTTTTCTACTTTTTTTTTTTTTAATAATAAATTTTATTTTTATATTCCCCCATACAACTGCACATGCCCCCTCAGATTCACCTCCAATCTGTATGTTTAGAGTGAAATGCTATGTAGCCATTTTAAAATAATGGCATGTATTGCTAACTGCAGCCCCACCAAAAAAAAAACAAAAGAATAAGGCATAGAAGAGTGTGCATGCACTAACAGCTATGAGAATACAAACGGATGCACTGGGGCCTCCCTGGTGGCGCAAGGGGTTAAGGCACAGCCTATGAAGCTGTCTGCAGCCACTATAGCATGAGTTCGATCCCCAGCCAGGGAGCAATCCACGTGGTGCAACAGACTGCTCCTGACTCGCCCGCTGTTCCCTTCAGCAGTGTATTTCAGTCAAGCTGCCTGTTCTGTTCCCCACTCTGTCTCTTGCCTGTTCTGTTCCCCATTCTGTCTCTGCCGAATCCTCTCACCTCCCATGCCTCTGGCCTGTACCCCAGCTCTTGTATGCATAAAGAAATATTTAAAAAAAATCAAAATGGGGCCTCCCCAGTAGCGTAGCCATTGAGCGCTGGGTTACAAAGCTGCCCGCAGCCTCCCGGTGGCGCAGAGGTTGAACGTTGGGTTGCGAAGCTGCCCGCAGCCTCTGCAGCGCCGGTTCGATCCCTGGCTGCTCCCCGGCCACCGGAGGAGGGTCCCACATGGCACACAGACCTCTCCTGCCTCCCGCTGCTCCCCTCAGCAGTGTACTTCGCTCCTTCTGCCTGCTCTGCTCCCTGCTCTGGCTCTGGTGAATTCTCTCACCCTCCCGCGCTTCTGACTGTACCCAGTGCTTGTATAAATAAATAAATGAATAAATCTTTAAAAAAAAAAAAAAAAAGCTGCTCGCAGCCTCTGCAGCGCCGGTTAGATCCCCGGCCACTGGTGAGGGTCCCACATGGCGCACAGACCTCTCCTGCTGCCCGCTGCTCCCCTCAGCAGTGTACTTCATCAGTCTGTCTGTTCTGTTCCCCACTCTGGTGAATTCTCTACTCTCCCGCGCTTCTGACTGTACCCAGTGCTTGTATAAATAAATAAATAAATAAATAAATAAATAAATAAATAAATAAATCTTTAAAAAATAAAAATAAAAAAATAAAAATGGATGCACTGAATGTGTGTGTCCCCCTTAAATGCATATACTGAAGTCTTGAGCCCCAATGGTACAGGACTTGGGGATTGTCTTTGCAAGTTAATTAGATTGAGGTGACAGTGGAACATCAGGAAGAAATCAGTGTCCATAAGAAGAGGAGGAGCAAGCAGGTGCTGGCTCACTCTTCCTATATAAGGAAATGGCAAAAAGTTGTTTGATTCCATGCCCAGGGAATCCTAATCTGCTGGCATCTTGATCTGAAATTTCTCAGTCTTCAGAACTAAAAGTCTGTTGTTTATATCAATCAGTCTAAGGTATTATGTTAGGCAGCTAACTAGGAGAAATTCTGGTCTCACAAAAAGGGTACTTCAGTAACAAATTCTCTAAAACATGGAAATGGCTTTGGAACTGGGTAAGAGGTAAAGAGTGGAGGATTTGGAGTATATATGCTAAAAATATGGACATTAAGGATAATTCTGATGAAGACTCAAAAAAAGATGAGAAAAATTAACCATTTGTGGAGACCACTTAAATACTGAGAAACAAACTTTGGTAGAAACACGAACAGAAAAGGCTTTTTGATGAGATATCAGACAAAAATGGAGAACATGTTATTGGCCATTGGGGAGAAGGTGTTCCTTCTTGCAAATGGCAAAGAACATGGCTAAATTAAGTTCTAGCATTTTGTGAATGTATTTGGTATGCAAGAAGGATATGAATTTTGGGAGCCAGGGACAGAAAGTTAGGGACTTATTTGTGCCTCCTCCCTAGTTCATAATTAAAATCCTAATCCCCAATGTGATGGTATTTAGAGGAGACCTTTGGGGGGTAATTAGATTGAATGAGGTCGGGAGAGTGAGGCCCCCATGATGTGATTAGCATCATTATAAAAGGAGGAGGGAGACCAGAGCTCCCTCTCTCTCTACCACATGAGTTCACAGCAAGAAAGCAGCCCTCTGTTTTCTTGATACACCCTGGCTCACACCAAGACTGAGTCTGCCAGTAAAGTGACCTGGACTTCCTGGCCTCTAGCATGGTGAGATTACTCAGTCTGTGGTATTGTAATAGGAGCACAAGCTGACAAATAACACACCAGACAGAGATACACCCTCCACACAGTGATTCACAGATCATTTCTAAAATAAATATGAAACTTAAGAACATTAATTTGTGCCCCATAGGATGTCCAGAAGGCCTAGGAACTAGAAAGATTTGAAATCAGGAGTGAGAGGAAGATGTGCTTTTAGAATAAATAAGATCTATTTATTTATTTGAATATGTAATATATGATTGTATAATCCTGTTAGTATAAAAATCACTATCGCTATTAAATTTGTTTCACATATCTATCTCACAAGTGTCATCAAAATATAACAAAACAGTTTCACTAATCTCAATGATCTATTTTGAGTTTTTCAAGTAATTTGTGCCACAACTTTAACATTTTCTGAAAAGGTTTACTACTACAATGTTATGTCTTGCCTTTGGGGATTGTCAACATATACCAATGAGAACATACCTCATGTGTGAGTTCTAGGTGAGAAAAGAGGCCAAAACTCATTTACTAGGTTATACCTTAATGTGCCAAAGAATAAAGTGAGACTTACCAATAGAATCTATTTGGTACAACCCCTTCCTGGATAAGCTGCCACCTTCTCCCAAATTCAGCAGAGCTGTATAACTGGAGAGAAGAAAAATAACTTAGCACCATGACACCATGTTATATGGAACACACAAACTAGCTCATCGTACCAATAACAATAATAACATTATGTAATGAGCACCCACCATTTGCCAGGCATTTCACATATCATGCCCAACCCTAACATATATTCTGCAAGGCAGACATTATCCTCTTTTTACATTTGAGGAAAAAGAGGTTGAGGAAGATGAAGTGATTGAAAATCACATGTCTACTAAGCACCAGCATGAATTGGGATTTATACTCTGTTCTGCCTGGCGACAAAGTACTTGCACCACCAGTCAGAGCATGCGCAGGTCTCCGTGTGGAGTACAATGCAGTGCAAACTCCAGACCTGCCTCTCAAAGAGCAGACAGCATGGCCTGAACTTAATGAAAGTAACAAGAAATGCATGAGGCAGCCAGCGATAAAAGGAGTGCAGAGAAAAGAGACTTGGGAATCAATCAGGGATGTTTTGCAGGTTTGTGCAGATTCAGCTAAAGGTCCAAATGAATGACAACATTCAAATTGACAAAAACAGGACAGGCATCAATCACACAGGGAACAACAAGGGTCAAAGTGGTGACATGTGCAGGGACAGAATCTGAAAAGCCTGATTTATCTAGATAAGTTTAGATGGAAATGTTGAGGGCATCTTGGAAAGGACTTTGAATGACAAGTTAAAGAGCCCAGCATTGATCCTGCAGGCAAGAGGGATCAGTGTTGGTCTTTTTAACAGTAATCAGCGGAACTTCCTTCAGGCTATAATAAAACAGCCCACATGGACCAAGCATTTGTGTTCCCAGTGCTTCTTATGTATTATGCGGTTAATCTACACACCATCCCTGTGCTATATGGTGTTACTAGGGCCATTTTACAGATGGTTGTAAAGCTGGTGAGATTTCAAGTTCATTCTCTACACTCCTCGTCACTCTCCAAGGCAGCTGCATGGACAGGTAGGGTCTACCTTTCATTAGACTCCATTCCCTCCAAAAGCCTTTCTTCTCTTAAGTCCTATTCTTTGCTCGCTTGACACCCTGTCCTCTCCAATGATCTTTACAGCTGAGTGTTCCACATTTCATCTCTATTCCTCCTTGGGACCATGGGGGCTTCCAGAAGTGTCCTCAGAAAGCATCCCAGAAACCCCTACCATTCTGGGCACTCTGATTCCCATGGCAGTAGACTATTGATGTGAAATACATCAGTTGAAACATCTCCATTGTACTATGTGCCTGGTCTGTAACCTACTCATGCTGTGATCTTCCATCATCGACTTTGCTGAGTCCCACAGTGAATGGATGATGAGTCCCACTATACTGAGTGCCATGGCAGCCCAGCCTTATCCTCTCCACCAGCCTCAATACTCAGTGATGGTTGAATGACTTACAGAGGTGACTCACCCAGGATGCAGAAGCAGTGGCATGTCCGAGGAGCAAAGCCCCCCAAATGAGTAGATATCTTTATGACACTGAATACATGGGACCAAAACACACCCTAAGGCTAAAAAAGCTAAAAGATCTGACTACTGGAGTGAGCAGCTCATTTGGGTCCAAACTACACAATAAATGGGTGTCTGACCAAGGAGAATCAGTGGCTTTTTCTTTCACGTCTTAGAATATTTCTCTGCCCCATTGTGCTTGGGGGAAAAAGGTTTCTGGGTTAAATTACATGCTTGATTCGTTTTAAGAGTGCCGGAGAGAGATGGGGAGAGAGGTCCCCTCAGGAGATAACAGAGGATGGGACAATGCACTCCCTCTTAATAAAGAACCCACGCAGGCTCAGGACGCACACCCTGTGTCTGTTCCCCAGCATGCCCTGAATGCCCACCATGACTGCTTCTCCCTCTCCCCTTGCTCTGCTGTTATTTAAACCCAGAGCTGCACTTCCTTCCATGAGCTTAAAGGAAATAGAATTCACACCATTGTATGTGCCTGTATCTATGTATAAATATATGTTAATATCTATATTTATGCACAGAGATTTATGCAAATGTAACAAGATCAGGGCACTTTGAAATGCAATAATAATACTGTGTGTGAATGATGGACTCACTTGTGTCCTGAAAATCTTCCGTGGACTCTGAGGGCCCCCTTGGCTGCCATCCCTGCTCCCACATGGAATTACAGAGCTCACCTCACCAAGGATTTGTTGGGGGCCAGCATCTGTGTGTTTATCCCCCTTCTACATCTTTTTTAATAGATTCCCCTAGGTTTAGATTCAGAACCTGTGGATCAGTCAGGTCTGTCCCATGACATTCGTTTTTATCCTCTTCAAGGGGATGGCTTTGTTATTTGTGCGCATTTGGGGGCCCTGCAAGCAGTGGGTATACCAAAGGATTCAATAAACCAAATATCTCTGATTCAGCTCAGGAATATCCTTTTCAGTTTCCTCTCTGGAAAGGCATCCTTCCTTTGGGACTGGCTGACCAGCCTTTCATCTCCCTAGTCACACCTGGGCATGTTCCCCTACCCATCCTTCTCTAATCCTATCCCCTCTGCAACAGAGTAGCAGTAGCAGTCTCCTTCTTAGGCCCAAACCGAGGCTACCTTCTCCATAAACCTCTACACACTAAAATTCCCAGACAGGGCACTTCCAAAGAACTGTGGTATGACAGGGCCTCCCTGGTGGCGCAGGGGTTAAAGACAGCATTATAAAGCTGCCAGACACTGTAGCACAAGTTGGATCCTCCAGCCAGCCAAGGAGCTGAACCACATGGTGCAGCAGACCTCTCCTGTCTCACCTGCTGCTCCCCTCAGCAGTGTATTTCAGTAAATCTGCCTGTTCTGCTCGCCACTCTCTGTGGTGAATCCTCTCATCCTCCACACCTGTGGCCTGTACCCCAGTTCTTGTATGCATAAATAATCTTAAAAAAAAAAAAAGTATGGGGCTTCCCTAGTGGCGCAAGGGGTTAAGCACCACACTATGAAGCAATCTGCAGCCTCTGCAGCACAAGTTCAATCCCCGGCCAGCCAGGAAGCTGACCCACACGGCGCAGCAGACCTCTCCTGATTTGCCCACTGCTCCTCTCAGCAGTGTATTTCAGTCAGTCTGCCTGTTCTGTTCCCCACTGTCTCTGGTGAATCCTCACTCCCCACACCTCTGGCCTGCACCCCAGTTCTTGTACACATAAATTAAAAATTCTTAAAAAAAAAAAAGAACTATGATATGACAACAGATGGTACCAAATCACAGGTCACACTTTGGCACTTTCCTATTAGACTAGTGCAGGGCTTCCTTCTCTCATTGTCACTCTAAAATATCTGAAGCCATTCCCTGTCTCTTTGATGAGATCAGAGATTTTAGATGTCAGGAATCACATCTTTCTCTATGTACTCTGTGCCTAGCACAGGGTAGGTGATCAAGGAGGAAGAAGCACTTGCTTTGTAACCTGCAAATCCCTTAGTAATGAATCAATTGAGTAAAGTACATTAGCTTCTCAATGGATTGACAAAAAGTAATTTATCAGAGGAGTATGTTTTACTTTCATAGAACCCACAGCTATGGGAAAAGCAAAAACAAAGGGAAACCTATAAATATCAATACCTTTGAAACTCCCAAGGTTTTGCCAGTTGGGTCTTACATATTCACGCCCAGACAAAGCTGTACTATATATGCTGCCTACTACTTCAAACATTGTCTCCCGCAGAAGTCAATTGTCCAGCCTGATGTTATACCAAGTAAAGGAGAAAACAACAATTCACAGCCATTCCAGTGAATGTGCTAATTAAATCTAGGGTCTCTGACAGCAAAATTCTCCCCTACAAAGAAGGGAACAGTATAAAAGTCGTTTGCCTATGATTCTGTCTCCATTACCAGGGGATGGCTTTTTGTGTAGAATAAGTCAATGTCCTCTAATAAAATTCACAGTGTTGGCAGCATCTAAATAAGATGTATTGCCCTCCATGTCTGTCTTCGGCTCCAAGGCTTCTTTGAGTGTCAGATCACAGAATTGAGAACTATCATTACTACCTGTCACATCAGAGAAAGCTGCAGCAGTTGTCTCCAGCAATGAGAGAGACTGAGAGAGAGAGAGAGAGAGAGAGAGAGAGAGAGAGAGAGAGAGAGAGAGAGAGAGATACTAGCCCTCTGTTACAACCACAGATGCTATTTTTGAAAGGCTTTGGTTTGTGGATAACACTGGTAAAAAAAATAATTAGGGAACAGCTGAAGGGAAAACTTGAAGGAGTAGAAATTTTAGAGAGGGAATGGGGAAGGATTTGGGTTGACTGAGAAAGCAAGGTGGAAAATCCTTGCTGTCAAAAATCATTCTAAAATATGAGGCCCTTTTTCGCCACCTGGCCGCTGCGCTGCCATCATGGGTCAGTCTCATGCATGCTCCCGGGAAGGGCCTATCCCAGTTGGCTCTGCCCAATCGCCGCAGCGTGCCCACCTTCCTGAAATTGACTTCTGATGACATGAAGGAGCAGATCTACAAACTGGCTAAGGAAGGCCTGACTCCCTCATAGATCAGTGTGATACTGAGAGACTCACATGGCGTTGCACAAGTACATTTTGTGACAGGCGTTAAAATCTTGAGAATTCCTAAGTCCAAGGGACTTGCTCCTGATCTTCCTGAGGCTCTGTATCATCTAATTAAGAAAGCTGTTGCTGTTCAAAAGCATCTTCGAGGAACAGAAAGGACAAGGATGCTAAATTATGTCTCATTCTGATTGAGAGTCATATTCACCGGCTGGCTCGCTGTAACAAGACCAAGCGGGTCCTCCCTCCCAATTAGAAATATGAGTCACCCACAGCCTCTGCCCTGGTTGCATAAATTTGTGTGTTCAAGCAATAAAAGCACTGTTTAACTAAAAAAATAAAATAAAATAAAATACCTGAGACCACTTCCCGGCCTAAATAAATATAGCTTAGTAAGCCCAACCCAATGCTCAACTCTGTTCAAGATCTATTAGCAGCCTCAGGGCCTCATTCTTTACTCTAGCATTATGCTGGTCTGAAGTTGTCAACACTTCCTCTTCCTGCTTTGCTCCACTCCTGAA